AGAACCTATCGTTGGTTGGGAGAGGGAGAAGAAATTCCAGATCCGAGCTGGGAGACGGCGGCGACGGTGCTCCGGACCGATAACGGTCCATTCGAAGAAATCCCTGTGGACATCTCTGTGAAAGGCTGAGGTTGCTGATCGCCATGAGCCGAATTCTCCGAGTGTATAGTTGAGTCCAGATGTGGTCTTTCTATTCCGGCGAGGGGGGGAGTCCCGGCAGAGAGTTGATAAGGTGCGACGCCCCCAACGACGGACGGGGTCGAGACCGGCCAGTTGCCTCCGAAATGAGCGGTCTTCTCCTTCCTTTTGTCAAAGACTGTGGAGATCTTAGAGCGGAAACAGTCATGGAGTTTGGCTAAGGTGCCGGCGGAGACAGGGCCTGTGAATGTTCAGACGGTTGACACCAAAAGGTCCGACCACAGAGATCGATGGGATGGCTGTGCCGAGGAGGACGGCGGTCGAGAGAGATGTGGAGAGGCCATGGGGCACGAGACAGCTCAATGACCAGGCGGCAAGCCGCCAGCAGCGGTGGAGTCCGACGGAGCTAGGCGAGGGGCTGAGGGAAGAAAATGGAGGTAGATGGAGAAGGAGTGGGTAGGGTTTCTAGAGAGAGAAATGAAGAGAGAGGTGAGAGCATTCGATAATCTACTTATAGAAATTAAAATTATTTGATTCTTATTATTACGGATACGATAGAAATTAGAACAAACTAAAATTATTTGATTACTATTACGGATATGATACCAAACGAAATCTCACTTGAGTATAGAAATTAGAACAAATTAAACTTATTTTATTATTATTATTATTACCAATATGATAACAAAATTCGTTTAATAATAAAATAGACAAACTTTTCGAAGCGCAGTGAAGTCAAAGTTTGGAAGACAGAGGGAAAATGTTTCCAAACGTAGTGCGATTCCACAAGCCGAAAGCTTCTCTCCCCTTTCTGAGGAAAGACGAAGTTTTTTGCATGAAATACAATTTTAATAAAATCAAAACCTTTTTTATACATATTGGTACGGGGCTCGTGCGATGCACAGAAAAAGCCGTTTTATTGAAATTTGTTGAAGTTAGATGAAATAAACATTTAAGAAAATCCAAATTAAAAATATTAAATAATTAAATTACTAAGAATATCATATATTATTAAACAACTCTTTGTACACAATAGTTTTGGGTGTCCCCGTGGGCAAACCATTACAAACTAAAATTTTCAAACTCTTTCGATTAGTAACCATAGTTTTTAAACCCGGCCCGAAAATCGACCCGGGCAAGTCTCCGGGTCACCGGGACACCGGTTCAACCGCCAGGTCACCGGGTCAATTGCTGAACCGGATAATCAATTTTAAAATTTTTAAATATATAAATATATAGTATTTTTGACATATAAATATACATAAAAGTAACAAAAATAAATATTTTGTATACAAAATTTGTACATTTAAGTGTTAATAATATTGAATCTCACAATAAATATTTACTATGTCATTATATAAACATAGTTTTTATTTTTTAGATAAAAAGAATATAAGAAAAATAAAAAAAATTATAGAGACCGGGTCAACCGGGTTGACCTGGCCGGGTCAATGACCCGGGTCGACCGGGTCAAGGCCGGGTTTTGACCGGGTTTAACCAGGTCCATTGTTACCCGGTCCAAATAGCCCATTCGGACTTGTTTTGACTCCGGGTAGACCGGGTCCCGGGTCGACCCGTCGAGCCGGTCCGAGTCACAAAACAATGTTAGTAACACATAACAAAACTGATCGTGACTGAACATCGATTTCTTAAAAACAGGCTAGAATGTGATAAAGATTGACCTTCACTCCTGTTAATCGTTATGACATAAGGAATCATAAGAAAACTGCCTTACTATTATAATATAAAATATGTACATAATTGTTGTATTATGCCTCAAATTTGTGTTCAGTAACTCGAACTGGACCAAGCCTCATGCATGAGTATTTATTCTTAAGAGGGTGTGCTCAATTGGAATTTTAAGTGATATTTTAAGATTTCTTAAGATTTGAGATTTTTTAGGGTTTTTTTATTTTAGAAGAATTCTATGAAATCTTACGTCTGGAGCTGGAGGTAGAATTTGAAGTGGGATTTCGTTTAAGAGGTTTTCTGTTTAGAAATCCCACCAAATCTTAAAAAGTTTTAATAAATCCTAGTGTCAAATAAATTAAATACCTCAAGTTTTTGTAAGACTTTTTAAAATCTCAATTGAATACCCCATGATTTTTAAAATTCTTAATAAATCTAAATTGAATACACCAGGATTTCTAAAATCTTAAAAAATCCCTAGAAATTCTAATTGAATACACCCTATTAATGTATTCTCAGGCGCAAACCATGTTGTAAAAATTATTTATTTTTAATATTTGACTTTGTGAGTTGTT